TAAAAAAAAATCTTATTGTTCGCTCTTGTTCTATTTGTGCACCTTTTACCTTGCCATTTACCCCACCAGGTGTCAACCTAAGAGGATTGCAAGCAAATCAGGTATGGCAAATGGATGTAATTTTTATTTCATCCTTTGGACAACAAAAATGCGTCCATCATACTATAGATACATGCACGCATTTCCAATGGGCTACTGCATTACATCCCGAAAAGGCTGATGCTGTTATTACCCATTTATTATCTCGTTTTGCAGTTATGGGGGTCCCAACTGAATTGAAAACTGATAATGCACCCGCCTACCAATCTGCAGAATTCGTTCATTTTTTATCCCAATATCAGGTAATTCATACTTTTGGGATCCCTTACAATAGTCAAGGACAAGCTATTATTGAAAGAGCTAATCGTACTTACGCGAGTATGGTGAAAAAGTAAAAAAAAAAAAGGGGGAAGAGGAGAGGTTTATGAAACTAAAAGACATCTTGAATTAAACCATACTAACTTTAAATTTCCTGAATTTTTGGAGCAAAGAAAATCGATCAGCAGCAGAATTGCATTTTCGCAGGAAAGAAGAGGATAAGATGGCTGCGGTTGCCTGTCAGGTAATGTATGCGCAAGCGATAGAATATACTTATTGGGCTTATGTTCCTAATCCTCCTCTTGTGAGAGCTGTCTCTTGGGGTGAACCGGAAGTACAGCTAGGCACCAATGAAACTGCGTTCTTCCCACCACCCGCGTGTGCAGGAATTAAGCATTTGCATCATCATAATAATCAATATGACGTAAGTAATGATACTGTTGCAGTGGAGGGTCTCCCCTTGTGCATCGGAGGACATCCCTTTTGCCTCTCTACAAGAAAGCATAATCATTACTCTTATAATACCTGGGGAGTAACATATAATAATCATCATTCTGCTGTCTTTACTGTACTTGTTTCCACCAGGGGATTCCACACCTCTACGACGCCGATGAGTCACCATCCTGATACCTTTATACCATTATGCCCTTCTAATTTTTTTCATTCCTTCTCTAGAATCTTTGGAATCGGAAAGATGCCGAGGTCATCAGCCTTTTAAGGTCATGAATTATTCTGGATTTGTTATTGCAGATTGGAGCCCTGATCATGGTCAAATTTTGGAAAAATGGTCTAACAGAACTTTCAAATGGCATCAAATTAATGGTACTTTAATGGGTAACGGTAATGAAACCGTAAAATGGCAGCAATTTGCACTCATCCCCCTCAGTTGCAATTGTTAGGGTATCCCCACTTTCAAGGGAATATTTGGAAATTATGGGCAGTTTCAGGGAATCTCACTATATGGTCAGGAAACTATACTTTGGATAAGACTGACAGTTCAGGTCCCTTTCATGTTAACTTGCATGTTAATAAATCTTATTCTGCTACGGCTTGTCTAAAATACCCCTTTGCATTGCTGTATGGGAATTGGACTTGGAATGCTACAGAGGGATCTATATCATGTAATCATTGTAATTTAACACAATGTGTAAATCAGTTACGGTGGAAAAGTTTTGAAACACAAATCAGTGACTCTAATTTTTCATTGGTGATTGTTAAAACTCGAACCGAAGTATGGTTGCCTGTAAATTTGACAAGACCTTGGTCGGACTCTTTTGCTGTATATCATTTGGTGACTGCTATACAAACATTGCTTCACCGGTCCCGACGCATGCTTGGAATAATCATAGCTTCCGTTCTTGCAGTGGCTGCAGTTACTGCAACCGCTGCTGTGGCTGGACTTGCTTTGCATCAAGGGGTCCAAACAGCAGACTTTGTACGGGAGTGGCATAAAGACTCTTGTTTATTATGGCAACAACAATGACATCTGGATGCATAACTTGCAACTGATGTACTCAATCTTCAACATACTGTTTCGTGGCTTGGGGATCAATTAACTGTCTTATCCACAAAAAGTGTACTGAAATGTGATTGGAACTCCTCTCAAGTATGTATAACCTCTGTGCCTTTTAACATGAGTGAAGGTTGGGAAAAGGTGAAACGGTCATTAACAGGGCATCAAAACCTAACTAAGGAAATTAAGGAGTAAGAGCAGAAAATTTTGTCTACATTTAGCAAAACACTACATGACATTACTGGGTCCGATCTGTTAAGGGATTTACAGAAAGGGATGAATAATTTGAACCCTCTTGGACATGTGTCTGCCCTAATTGGAACTGTTCTCGTGAATACTTAATTCATAATACTTTTATGCTGGGTTATTATTTTAGTGTTCCGGTGCTGGTGAAGAAGGCAACAACTAAAAAAGGATAGACAACGCGTTCTCGCTGCCTTACAGTTTGCTGCCGCTTCTCAGAAAAAAGGGGGAGATGTGGGAGCCCGACAGTGACCACAAGAAAGCGTGGTTAGGGACGCGGGGATGTGCCTGCACACGGGGCTCCCTGCCTGGGCAAAGCATGCCTGCAAACAGGATGCTCTGCCAGGAGGCCTGCACACAATATCCAAGTTTAATGGTCCGCTCGCAAACGAGGGAACATGCCCTCCTTAGAAATAAGGAGGAGGCTGGAATTGTGAGCAAGCCTCTGAGTAAACATGTTGTGGTCGCTTCCTCCCTTTGCTCCCCCCGTCCCTGAAATGTGTTTGGCTACTTGCCCTTAATTGGTAAAGGAATGCATCCGGGTATAAAATAAACCGCAAGAGGGGCTTGCATAGAATTGTTCCTCTGGCCGGAGTTGTGTCTGTGTCTGTCTGTTGTGTGTGTCTTGTCCTTTGTGTCGTTTCGTCCGCAACATTTAAGTTTGGATCTGAGCTTCCTTGTGGCCAAGGCAAGAAGGAAGTGTGGCTTACATGCTTCTCATTGTTTGATCAAAGGTGTTTAAGTTGAAAGTGAGCATTGCCTGGAGATCAAGGGTAGGCTGAGGAGCAGAGGCAACTATTCTTTTGCTGACTCTCGGTTTCCCCTCCTAGACCCACCTGCCAGGGTTTGTGGAGCAGGCTGAGGCCCTGAAGGCCAAAGGCATCCAGGTGGTAGCCTGTCTGAGTGTTAATGATGTCTTTGTGACCGCAGAGTGGGGACAGGCTCACAACTCTGGAGGCAAGGTGAGGTGTGGGTGCTGTGGGGGGCGGGGAGGGTTCAGGGGTCAGTACAGGATTTTTCTTTTGACCTTTACTTCCTCTTTAGGTTCGGCTCTTGGCTGATCCCACTGGGGCCTTTGGGAAGGTGAGTGGACCCCAGCCACCCTCACCCTGGAGGGCAGTCCCTCTGCCAGGCCTTGGATACAGGAACTTGGAGGCTGATATGGGGAGCATCTGGCTGGGGGGGTGGGGGGCACTTGGTCTGTTCTGGAAGTTCCTAAGTCTTGTCTCTGCCTTTCCTTTTAGGAGACAGATTTGTTACTAGATGATTCACTGGTGTCCCTCTTTGGAAACCGACGGCTCAAGAGGTAAAAGTGAGAGGGTCCCCTGTGGGGTTTCCCCTGCCGCCCCTCCAATTTCCCTCCCTAGCCTCCAGGCCCAGGCTGCTGCAGTTGGCCCGGTCTCTCCTTCTGGCAGGTTCTCCATGGTGGTAGAGGATGGCATAGTGAAGGTTTTGAACGTGGAGCCGGATGGTACAGGCCTCACCTGCAGCCTGGCCCCCATCATCCTCGCACAGCTCTGAGGCCCTGGGCCCAGACCTCCTCCTCCTGCCCTTTATTGTTGCACCTCCCCAGCCCCGGACGGGGGGCCCCAGTCCAGCCCCGACAGGGGCCAGTTCCCAGGTGGGAGCTCTGACCAAACTTCTGCAATAAACATTTCCGGCTCACATTTACTCCTTGATCGTGAATTCGCTGCTTTGGGAAGGGCCAGGCCTTATGAGAGTCGCACCTGTGAGGGTAGAGGCAGGCACTGAAGGGCTACGGATGGGGGGGGCCCTGATTTAATTGAGGAGCTAGGGAGAGCCTTTGAGTGAAGTGTTAGGAAACTGAGAAAGGGCCAGCGGTCTGAAGAGCAAGGGAAGGAACGGTCCAGGTGGAGAGAGCACACCTGGGAAGGCTCTAGGCAGACACGAGCTTGGCTTGCAGCCATGGCCTGATATCCGGGTGTTAGCCGATCTCATTTAAAATGTTTATTTATTGAGGCGCCTGGGTGGCTCAATAGGTGAAGCTTCTGACTTCACCTCAGGTCATGATCTCGCAGTCCGTGGGTTCGAGCCCCACGTTCGGATTCTGTCTCCATCTCTCCGTCCCTCCCCTGCTCGTGCTCTCTCTCTCAAAAATAAACATTAAACACTATTTTTTAAAAAAAATAAAACTGTTATTTTTGAGAGAGAGAGAGAGAGAGAATCCAAAACAGGCTCCAGGCTCCGAGCTATCAGCACAGAGCCCGATGCGGGGCTTGAACCCACAAACTGAGATTGTGACCTGAGCCAATTTGGGTGCTTAACCGACTGAACCCCCGCAGGTGCCCCTTGGCTGATCTCATTTAGACCATAAACCTCAGGGTAGGTAGGAGCTTTGGCTCGAGGCACTCAACAATGTGGGCCGAGCTTTAACCCCAACATTCTCGTAGATTCTGGTGAACCCCTCCGAGGAGCACCCTTACCCCAAAAAGAGCCTCTTGGCATGTTGGGACTACCTGACTGGTGGGAAAGGGCTCCGTCACTGGAGACAGAACTGGCCGAGTCCAGAAAAGCTTCCTGGGAGGGGAGTGTAGGTGAGCTGTGCCAGGAAAGCCTGACCAGTGCTGGCTGTACTGTGAGGGGGTGGGGGCCAGGGAGGCCATTGTTCTCTGCGGGCCCTGCCCTTGGGCTTCTGCTTTTTGCCCCTGGGCAGCCTTGCATTTGCAGCAGGCAGCGATCACTAGGCCCCTGCGGTGTTCAGGAGCTCAGAGTCCTAAGTGGGGCAGACAACTTGACCTGCCTCTTCAGGGGTCATCATCCAGTGAGGGGTGAACAGTTACTGCCCTGTGACAGCTCAGAGACGTTAAGGGCTCAGCCACTTCAGAAGAGCTCAGCAGATTTGAGCCCATCGCTTCGCCACAGGGCAGGCATGGGTGTGGGCTCAACTCACCAAGGTGTTGCCTTGCCCTGTGCTCTCCCTGGGGGGAACCCATCCCCCAGAGCTGGCCAGGCCAGGCCACACTTCCTGGGGAGAGGTCAGGGAGGGGCCCGTAGGAGGGGACGATTTAACGCAGTGGGACTGATGCTTCTGGCAGAGGGAAGGAACAGCGTGACCACAGGTATGGAGTTGGAACAGCCCAGCCGCCGCAGGGCACAGAGCAGTTGAGTGAGAGAGGAGACAGGGAGGGAGGGGAACCTTCTAGACGTTGGTTAAGCAAGCTGTTTACTTTTCTCCCTGTGGTCGCCTCAGGCCACTGAAGGATTTCTGTGGGGTAGTGACTGGTGAGTTTCATACCTGGGCTCCCATGCGGAGGCAGAGCCGGATTGGGGCCGGTGGGGGGCAAGACAGGCAGCAAGGATCCATGATGGATGATGGTGTCGGGGAGGTGGGGGCTGGGACGTGGAGGCCTGTTGGATGTTGGGGGGAGGGCGAGTCCGGGGGCGGCTAGCTGGAGGTCTGAGGGACCGGCTGGTAGAGGTGGTGTGTGAAGGGGGCACTCCGTAGGGGCACCTCCTCCCTACCGGAGATGGCCCACCCACTGACCTTTGTCCCTTCAAATCCCACAACTTGCTGCCCCTTGGGGATCATGGGCTGGGACAGGGCAGGGGACTGACCGCCCCTCCAGTTGCCCATTCGCTCATAATCTCCCCCTGCCAAGCTCTGGCTCACAGCCCTGCCTTCGATGACATGACAGCAGAAAGGATCTTCCTTTTCCGGATACCGCTTCTCTGAGTCTTTTTGTTTGTTACTCAGTGAGTTTCCCCTGGGGTCACCTGTGTGCCCACCAGCATGTGGCCTCGAGCCTCCTGAGAGCCTCAGGTGGAGAGTGTCCGAGTCGGCGGCTGGGCTCTCGGAGGCTCGTGCCGCATCGGTACCCGGCTGGACCCCCGCTCCCATACAGGCCGTGTACCCTACTTACCCCTGCTGCCCCTCGCCTTCCGGGTGAGTCTCTGTGGCTGCCCGTCAGCGGCCTCTGCTTCCTTCGCCCCTGGGCCTTTCAACCTGAGGCCTCGGGAAGGCCTCCGAGAGCAAGTGTTCCCTCCAGGGTCCTTTTGCTGCTGGCTGGGCCTCGGGGCCAGCACGAGCAGGGGCTCCCAGGGCCTCGGTGTCCCCTGCGGTCGGCATGATGAGAGTCAGGTGTGAGTGGAGGTTGCCGCGTGTCTCAGCTTGTGGGGCTGGGTGGTGTCCCTGGAGACGCTCTGGAGACTGGAGGGGCCTGAGATTAACGATCACATTGTAAGACAATCTGGCAGAGCTCTGTCTCCAGGGCAGACAGACTACGCTTCGGGCCTGCAGATGAGGGCAGGGCAGGGTGGCCTGGACTGGCACGTTCTGGAAGCTGGGTGCTGTACCTGTCAGGGCAGGGGGCGTGAGCTTCCTGGGCCCACGTTAGAACAAACCCTGAGACGTTCAATGGCACATCTCCAGATAAAGCTCACCGACCTGTCCTGACAGGTACCTCCTAACAGCACAGCACCTGAGCTGGAAGGTCAAGGGTGTTACTCAACATCAGTGGTTCTGGCCTTTTCTGGGTCAAGAGGTCTTTTTTTTTTTTTCTTTTTAATGTTTATTTATTTATGGGGGGAGGGGCAGAGAGAGAGGGAGAGAGAGAATCCCAGGCAGGCTCTGTGTTGTCAGGGCAGAGCCCAACATGGGGCTCGATCCCACAAGCCATGAGATCGTGACCTGAGCCGAGGTCAGATGCTCAACCAACCAAGCCACCCAGGCGCCCCACGCCTACGTGCTTTTTAAGGGTTTTGAGGGCGTCCCCTGAAGTCTTTCCAGAAACTCCAGGTGAGCCCCCCACCTCTGCCTGAGAGGCATCATACAGCGTAGGGTCACTGGAGTTTGGGCTCAGACCCCTAGACTGAATCCTGACCTGCCACCAAGAAGCTGGCCCCTTTAGGCAGGCTATTTAGTTTCCCTTGACCCCACTTCCCTTCCCTTTAAAGTAGGACTGATCTTAGGGTGCCTGGGTGGTTCAACTGGTTAAGCCTCTGACTTTGGCTCAGGTCATGATCTTGTGGTCTGTGGGTTCGAGCCCCAAGTCGGGCTCTGTGCTGACAGCTTAGAGCCTGGAGCCTGCTAAGGATTCTGGGTCTCTCTCCCTCCCTCTCTCTCACTCTTACTCTCTTTCTGCCCCTCCCCCACTCACACTCTGTCTCTTTCTCTCTCTCAAAAAAAAAAAAAGAAAGTTGGAATAATCCAACCCACTTCATAGAGTTCTTTTGGGGAACAAATGAGAGAGTTATGTAAAGCGTTGGGCACACCGCCCAGCCTGCAGTAAGAAGCCAAAACATGGTTATAAAAAAAAGAAACAACACAAAAAGAATCCTTTCTCACTACCTTGCAGCCTGCATATTGGTAGAGAGAGAGCTAGGAGTTAGGAGAGAGGTCAAACCTCAGTCCTGTCATTCATGATTCCCATAACTATGCCTCTCTGGGCCTCAGTTTCCTCATCAATATAATGGGCTAGTGACTCTCTTGTTATCCAGTGTATGTAAGTCTTCAGGGTTCTCCATACATCGTGTGGCGCCTGAAGCTTCACAGGTTAAGGAGCTGGGAAAGCGTCCCCTGTGACTGTCTTGGCCAGACGTGAGTTTCTGGGAGAAAGAGAGGGTTGGAGGGGTGCCGGCATCCCTGGCCCAGACCTGGTTTGGGCTGTAGTTACGTGGGTACCGTGATCGGGAATATATTGACCCCAAGGGAACCCACGCTCGTGGTCGTGGTCGGGTTTTGGTCACATGGATGTTGAAGAGGCAGTGGAGAGAGAGGATTGTGTGTGCGTGTGAGTGCGTGTGTTTCTACAACTTGTGCAAGCATTTGGATAACATCTGCGTGAACACACAGATTTTTGGCGCTCATAAACATGAGTATCAATCTGCCATCTTTGAAAAAAAATTTTTTTTTTTTAATATTTTTTGTTTATTTCTAGGAGAGAGAGAGACAGTGTGAGCAGGGGAGGGTCAGAGAGAGAGGGAGGCACAGACTGAAACAGGCTCCAGGCTCTGAGCTGGCAGTCAGCACAGAGCCCGACGCGGGGCTCGAACCCACGAACTGCGAGATCATAACCTAAGCGAAAGTCGGACGCTCAACTGACTAAGCCACCCAGGCGCCCCTGAAAAAATTTTTTAGGGGCGCCTGGGTGGTTCAGTCAGTTGAGCGTCCGACTTAGGCTCAGGTCATGATGTCACGGCTGGTGGGTTCGAGCCCCTTGTCAGGTTCTGTGCTGACCAAACAGCTCAGAGCCTGGAGCCTGCTTCAGATTCTGCGTCTCCCTCTCTCTCTCTGCCCCTCCCCTGCTCATGCTCTGCCTCTCAAAAATAAATAAATATTAAAAACAGGGTTTTATTGGGGCCCCTGGGTGGCTTAGTCGGTTAAGCATCCGACTTTCGCTTAGGTCATGATCTCGCAGTTCGTGGGTTCGAGCCCCGCGTCGGGCTCTGTGCTGACTGCCAGTCCAGAGCCTGGAGCCTGTTTCAGAGTCTGTGACTCCCTCTCTCTCTGACCCTCCCCTGCTCACGCTGTCTGTCTCTCTCTCCTAGAAATAAATAAAACATTAAAAAAAAAAAAAATTAAAAAAAAAAAAAAAAGAAGGTTTTCTGGAATAGGACGCCTGGGTGGCTCATCAGTTGAGTGTTCGACTTTAGTGCGGTCATGATCTCACGGTTTGTGGGTTCGAGCTCCATGTCCGGCTTTGGACTGACAA